TGACGTATCTTTTAGAAAAACAAGGTAAATATTATAACTGAATAAAAATAAGTATAACATGACGGTGGCAGATTTGTATTCTTTGACATTTTTGAATATTACTTGTTAAAGCCATTTTTTCGCAAATGTTATGTTAGACGTAAAATATATATATATCTATTCACATTTACTATTAAGCGGAGGCTATTTCTGTGAAAAAGCTTATGTTACCGCGTAGTATAGGTGGATAGTAAAAAAAGATCCTTCAGTAATTTCACAGTTTTAAACAAAAATACTATTTTTCTTTAAATAGAATAAGAGTTTGTATTAAAATTACTTAACTGGAGCACCAAAATACCTAGGTCTTCATTTTCTAAAGAGGTCACTATCTAAGTCCGCACCTGGAAAAAATTTGCATTCGGCCGACATCGGGAACGCTCGTGCATTTCCGTGGGGTTCGCTTTCCAACCCTTGGTGAGATGTCTCTGCCCCAGTCGGGAAAATCTTTACAATATTTCCTTTTAATTCGCCAATAATTTCCTTTTCCTAAGTGAAAAACATGTGATTATTGTATATAAAAGTTAGATTAAAGTTATATAGTTGATTATAATTGATTTGTTCAGTGTATACTGTTGATTGTGGTGCTTGTACATACTTTCGGAGCTGAGAGCAAGGATACTACGGTACGTGATTTGGAATAAAATTAGCAATCTCTGAGTACCTATCCTTATACCAGGAATTGGCCTGATTTAGAAATTAACAGCGACATAAGAAATATTTAAAAAGTTGTCTGTGAAGCTCTATACTTATCCGGCGATGATAATACAATTATATCTGTTTTAAAATAATAATAAAATATTTGCCGAATTTTTTTTATAACATTATTATTCTGAATAAGATTTTCTTAGACTGATTTTCTTAATAGTAAATTTATCTTTTTCCAGTGTAAAATCATGAAAAACACGGATGATGATGATGACTGAAAAAGAAGTCAATAGAATGTTGGGTAAGTGTATTTTTAAGTCAGTGTAAGTTAACATCTCACAATGAAGTTCTCCTCTATCACTATCAATAGAGAAGGTATCCTACTGCGTAGTAATTATATTTGAGCCTACATTGAGTTTTACCTACTTCAACCTTTTATATTTTTTTGTACCTACCTTAAATAAGGTTAAATATCTCTAATTCGAATTTCAGATTACTTAATTAAGTTTCTACACAAAAAAGTATAAAAAAAGCAATCCAATGCCATCATATCGCTCACTGAATAGTACAGTGGCACAACTCAAAAACCATATTTCGAGAAACGCTCTCCGAAGTTATGAAAATTTAATATATTTATAATTATGAAAATCATTTTTTTTTAGCGTAACAGTTAAATCATTTGCATTATATTATTACTGTTAAGTTTTTTATTTTTTCTTTAAATTATCTATGGGATGCCACCACAATTTTGTGGCGTTTTATCGAAAAAATGGTTTTTGAGTTGTGCCACTGTACTATTCAGTGAGCGATATAATCGCGTGGATTTTATATCTTAGAGTTGATCCACAACCACCGATATTATCTAAGTTTATCAATTTACAAATTCATCAGATAAACATTAACATTACAACTATAATCAATACTCGAAAAACTAATATGATAAGATTCTAAAGATATAAAAACAACTTACATTTCATATATTATGTTTCTGTATAGAAATTAAAATTGTATGCTATGTTCTTATAAACTATCGTTCGAGAGTTCATTATTTTCCGTGATATCGAATTGCAATCAGTCAGTTCTGAGTAGAGAGGAACAAACAGATGTCCAAAAAAACTAGAGCCCACATTGCTTACAGTGCAACCTGTTTCTCGATTACACGATGTGTATTTATAACCATGTTTAGAAATCACGTAGAGACTTCGGAGTGTCATGTGTATCTTCGTCAGTCATACACTTGCCTCTTAACAACTTACAGACGCTGATAACCCATATGATAAACTATTTAACCACTATCGGCCGTGTGTAAAGAAAACAAAAAAAGTGTTGATCGAGTCAGTAACGTCAAGGATTGTTAAGGTTATGAGAATTTTAAAAGTGCTTACGGAAATTTTAATAAAATCACATATAGAAAGCAAAAACAATAGGTTAGTGATCAACAAAGCAATGCTGAAGACGAAAAGAAGAAAAAAGAGACCGTAATTTTTTTTGTAGACAATAAAAAGTGTTTGATTGTCAAAGTTGAAAATATGATCGCTTTAGTGTTGTGTATAATTGAGAAAATCATTGAAATAGCTAAAAATACTTATGAAAGTGATGATTTGGAAGAAAATGATGATATTGGTAATGATGATAATACAATACGTCAATGGAGACGAAGGAAAAGAAAGCAGACTGGTGAGATGTTTCTAAAAGCTATTAAAGGTCTTGTTTTTATAGTTTAAAAATTAAAAAACAATATCTCTTAGTATCAAAAACATTTAAGCAAAATGTGTAAAAAAAAGGCGAGTTAGATTTTTTTTGTATAATAAATTGCATCGATTTTTCTAGTTGACGCAAGTTTTATTTACCTGTATAAAGTATTAAGTAACCAAGGTCACAGATGTCGTGATCGTGATGATTGTGTAATTGTATGAAAGTCTAACGTTAAGTTATTTTTGTAGGCGACATCTATTAGAAGCTACAGTTACTACATTGTAATGCCCCAATGACTAAATATTATTATATTATTGATTAGTGTGCTGTGCTATGTCACCGACTGACTAGATGGCGCTAGTATTAAATTGCTGCTTTTAAATTAATATATAGGTATACAATAATTATCATAAATTAAATACCTACATAGCTCTTACGTGTGTGATTCAGAAAGAATTATTATTATTGTTGTTATTTCCCTTTTTTTGTAAAATTATAGTTTTTACATTGTTATTTTTGCTTTTGAACTTAAGAATTAAAACATTTCTTGTGGGAAAGGAGATGAAAAGCTTTGCTGGAGAAATGAATTTATAATTGGTGTTCTTAATTTAAGATACTCGATATGTTTATTGCGAAAGTAAATAATGCCTCACTTACTATCGATATTAATTATTTTTTGTCTTCGATAAATTACTGCCTTTATTAAATAGACTACTTATCTATATGTATTTTTCCGTTATCACAGATACCTATTCTGTTTACCTGAATAAAAACAAAGAATTCAAAATTGAAGGTGCGAAATACCGAAAAATTTCAGATTCGGTGTCGCGGTCATTTGCGATGTCTCCGATGGGGTCATTCACTTAGCGCAAACATAATATGACTGATTTGGCAAATATACCGTTACATTTTTAGCCTGTGTACTTGATGTTTTAGAATTTAGGTCTCGGAGCGGTCGATGATATCTTTATATATGTATCTCACTATGAAAGTTGTTGTACGAACATATTTTGCAGTTGTTTTAAGATAAATATACAGTTTATTATAATGTTTCTCCACGGGTGTGCTTTAAACACAGTGAACCTTTATATTTAGTACTTACAATTAAAAGTAAAAAAAATACGAAAGTAAGATAAAGTATAACCATTTATATTTTAGTTGATTGTCACCTGCGATTCGAGCTACATAATTTATTTATTGATAAATAAATATTTTGTGTTTTTTTTAACTTATAAGTCATGATCAGACACAAAAGAGTACAACAAAAACTACCAAATCGGCCAAGTTAAATGAGGCAACTGATTCACAGTAATTATTTTTTATTAGGATTCCATCATTCCACACCTGATAAGGAAAATGAATCTTTAGTCACTTCTTAGGTCCTCTCTTTTTTCTACGGGGGCTTATATGGGATCAGAGGAAAGTGAATTGCACGTAAATCTATTTTTTATATTTGCAAACCAATGCAATAGTGTTTTTTTTTCAATAAGTAGTTTTATTAGGATAACATTTGTAAACACCCATTAGGATCGGCAAATCTTCGATCTGCTTACCGATTTGCTTGACTTATTTCAATATATAATATTATTGTTTTCATTAAGTATGCTTAAAATTCTGGAAGCTTAGTATTATATGTTAGTTCGAGATAATTTAGCCGTACCTACTTGGTTACTAATAACCATATCTAAGAAGAAGAAAAATATTGCAGCACTGTCATAGTTACAATCAAATATAATATTCTTTAAAAGGTATGTAATAAAGGTTTTGTTTTATTGAAGCTCTATGCTGTCATAGAGGTTGATCGAACGGTGCCGAACTTTAATTAAAGTGTCAATTAAACTATTATATTTGCTTTATAGCACTCGAGTGGTGAAAATTAATAGGTCTTATTTAGAGTCAGTACCTAAGGCGGCATGAAGTTAGCAATTTTCTTTTATAAAAGTAATTAAATACTTTGAACACTATAAATCTGTAATTTGTTTTAGTAATAAAGTCAGTCGTAATATTTTTTATTCTAAACCAGCTGTTTCCCGTTACGCCCTTCAACAAATTAAGTTATAATATTAATAGCTTTCGAGTTTGAATTTAATTTAAAGTGCATATTTACGATTTTTGTCGTTTAAGTAAACGTGTTCACCCTCCCGCCTTTTACTAAAATTGTGACGTACGACTGGTCTGAAGTTCGCGCGCATGCGCACGTCAGTTCCACGCGCTGCGCCTGCGCGTTTGACGGTTTATACGGCGGTGCCGTGGTCGTGATCCGATTAACAACGTCAGTTCTATTATTCCACATAATTACAATAAGAAATGCATTTTGCACTTTCTTAATCATACAGTGAATTCTATCGCTTGATTCGACAATGCATTCAATGTTGAAATTATCTGATTTCAATACTTAGAAAATAAAGAAAATTAATAACAGTGGTTACTCTAGCATTACACGTTGCAATACGAACGCGGAAAGAATTATAAAATTGCAACATTAATCAACGCAACATTTTTTAGTTTTCTTTTTTAGAATATCAAAACTCAAGCTGGTTCGGTCGTAGTATAATTCAATTAATCCCATTCTATTTATGTCCCGTCTCGATCCAGACTCGTTCCCCTTTGTAACTGTGTTCAGAGCGTATGATATCCCTTTCGCACACGGCTATTCATTCACGCGGAGCGCCTAACTAATATTTGTATCTGGAATTCGGGATAGCGCGCTTGCAGCTGTCAAATCAAGCGATAGGCGGCTACACGTAACCCTTATCCTATCTAATAAATTTAATAAACTAATATTTATTTTACAGTGTTTTTACTTGTGTTTTGTTATGGAAAAACAATGTGAAAAGTGGTTGTTAATGTAATATTTCTAAGTAACTTGTATCCTTTTTGACTACACAAATCGATTGTAGACGCAAAATGTGAGGTTTCATTCTCACTGTGTCAAAGTGTATAGTGATATGAAGGTGGATCTTGTGATAGTGGACCTTTAGTTACAAAAACTCAAAAAGGATACATTGAGAAAAGAAAATGCGGATCAAGAGCTTCAACGATTATCGCCCGAATGGTAAATAAAACATTCACACTTTACAACTCAATTCGACTTTTTATTTTACCGTCGTTTCATTAAAACCTTGACAGCTGGTTTAACATCACGAGTTCAAAGAAATCGGGCATTCGCTGAATCATATAACTCAAACATTTTTCATAGCGCAAAATTATGCTAATCTTACATTACAGTATAACTAGTTATATGTCGAATCAATTGAGTATCATACTTTACTTAGAACTTTCGCTTACGGCCTTTAAATTTTCCTTTAAAAATTACTTATAATATTAATTTGTGCACTTACCCTAGATAAATAAAAGCATTAAAAGGACAAGCAAAAGGGCAAATACAGACAAATAAATAAATCAGTAAATCGCATTCGAATAAAGTTTATTTATACATATAGGTATAGAATACGTTTTAATTGTAATATTTCATTATGTGTCAGACGTCGGTTCGCAATAACAAATATCTGGATAGTTTCTTTAATTAAAAGTAATATGGCTTCTGTTCTCAAGGCGGCAACGATAACAATGTATGAACATATACAACTAATACAAAAATTCCTATTACGATCTTTGTATACCTATAACTAACCTGTCAGGTCTACTATATTCGATATAATGACTTCGATTCCCTGTCATGTTAATAGCAAAAAATAGAAAAAGGGAAAAACTTTTATATAGGTACTATATTTTTATTTTTAAGCCTAGCTAAGCTCAGCATGAGTTATAAATTATATTAATTTAGTTTCATAATTTTAGTACTATGCATATTATTTGAATCTGTTTTCCTTCCCGTTACGGTATACCGTTCTGAATATTTATAACCCAGTGTCTAACAAAAGTACCATTAGATTGTTCACCGCTAAGCTTTTAACGTTGCGATGTGCAATGACCGTACGATTTCATACGCTATTAGCACCGGAGGCCCAGTGTGGAGTCCGCTTTAGGTCTAATGATTTAAATTGCGATGACTTGTCCCGGCGGCCTCCAATTGGTGGAGCTGACGATCTCGAGGCCGGCCGCGTTTCATCACTATCATAAACACAATCAACTACGGCTTATCCTCCATTGGTATCGCCATATGGGATGCCGAAAACTATACGCATCATAATGCAGCTGTTAAAATACCATTATTTTTCTATTTTTTTTTCTAATAGTTTAGAATATTTTCCGCACATAAAACACAGCTGCACATTATCATACAATAACAAAATTTTCGTGATCGATTTAATCTCTAATTTCAACGCATCAAGGTTTACAATAAACGGGAGGTTTAACATTATCTGTAGCCTAATTGTTTAATTTTAAAATCTGCCACAATCACTTTGAAGATGACATTTGAAATATATTCACGAACTTCAAGCTACAACTATTTGACACGATAGCAATTGCAAGTGGACGTTAATCGGAATTGTCAAAGCAAAATCATCATTCGTCCGTTCAAACTTAAACATCATTTAAAGTTACAACTTTAAAAGTTACACAATTCTATAAATCGCCATTACAACCACTATACGTTTGAAAGGAATTGTGATAGATTTTTAAATTAGTTATTTAGGCCAATGTGGTTTAACGATGCCTTTAAACTTTGATGAATGTCAAATTTGTATCGGTAATGTCACTTAAACAAAAGACAATTTTAATGGACGTTTGTGCATCTGGCTGTCAGACTTTCCTATTTAAATTAGTGAAGAAAACCGCATACCAACATACTTAAAAGTACATAATGTATTCAGCATTTAAATTCAAAAGATAATCAGTAATTTACTTTTATGAATGAATTGAGACAACAATAGATGTCATCGCTCGGAAGTAGTTGGAATGGGCATATTGATAAGGTGGTGGCTTTATTGGTATATTCCAACAGACTCCCATTGTTCACATAACACTCGTAACAGCAATTATGTTTTTTGAACCACGAAGGCGAGGCAATCTATATGGTGTAGCATTGTTCTTCAGTATTGTTTTGTTTGATAAAACTCTTTATACAACTTTGTTCAAACTACAATCATAAACGTACTTTCAAATGATTTATGAATTGGGATTTTAGCAAGTATTAAGCACATGTGTTAATAATCGTATTTAAACGAAATGTTATATAATAATTTACCAAATATACTCGGTGATACAAGAGATAAACCTTTTCATTTCAATAAGTCATAAAAAATCATTGATATCTTACTATAATTAAATAATTCCTCAGTCCTGTATTTTGCTATAAGCAACAATTTTTTTAATATAACATATTGGATGTAGACACTTGTTATTGTTTGTTAATTTATATAAATTACTGATTACGTTATGACCTGATAAAAACATTTGTTGTATCTCGATGAGATGTGAATGATACTATCAAGTATAAACTGTTTTTTTTTCTTGGCATAATGATATCACTGAGAAAAGTGACACGCAAAAAGTTTATTAAATAATTCAATCCATAAATAAGGTTACACGTCAAAAGTATTTCCAGCCTCCAGTAAGCAGAACAAGCGGTAACCAAAAAAAGTTCCAACACAATGAACATGCCTTAATGCTCCAATAAATTCGGTTACGTTTTTTTCTAAAATCTCTCGTAACCCACGAATGAGTCGATCACGGCTTTGGATATAAGTTAAGCGTTGTCACCCTCTCAAGATACACCCCTCTAATCTTCGATCGACGTTACCCTTATAAGAGCGAAAGATACATTTTATTTAGGTATCGAGGAAGGCATACAAGAAGCTATGTGAGATGTGATTAAGTTATACTTTGTTTTGTATATTTTTTATTTAAAATTGTAAAGTTTCTTATGATATTTAATAAGGCAGATAATGTTTCCTAGAAAATTTTACTGCCAAATATTCCTGAAAAACAGTATTTTTGGTCTCATTACGAGTATGAAATCGCAAATAAAGTACATAAGAAACAATTTGTTTTTGGTCGACAATGACGTACCTTATTTTGGACTATCGTACTACTTATATTGGTGATGAAACCAAGCAGACCTTAATATATCAAATAAAGAAAATGACTAGAGAGCTACTACAAAAGCGATATTGTTATCTTACATTAATGTTAAACTCAAATGGTAAAGTATTTTATAAAATCATATAGTATTTTTTGAACGTTATTTAACGTGAAGTTAAATTAAGTGAAGTTTGTGTCTAATTGAATTTCAGGTTAGGTGAATTGCTATTTTTGAACTTAGTACCTATTGGCATTTGAATCAGAAGCGGTTCTTTTATAGCATACAAGTCACGAGCACCTTTCGGTGGTGTAAATATTAAATAAATTTAAACAACATCACATACATTGCTCAGATTTCAAGATGAGTATCTAAAGCCCCCGTATTATGGAGTATCTGAGACAACGAAGATACCACAACAACCAGACCCAAGACAATATTTGAAAAGTTCATTACTACATTGACAAACACCTTGAAATCGGCATGTGTACCACTCGGCTACGACGCTTGATTTAACGTATAAACAATAACTAATATAAATTAAAAAAGAAACCTTATTAAATGCTGATATAAAGTATAAAATACCACACCAAGTGCTTTAAAGCGACAAAATCTCAAATTATAAAAATTCTATGATACAAAAATTAATACTTGCACCACAACTTAGTACACTTTTATTACAAATTATATTAAGTACTACTACATTATACATTATTTTACTACATTATTTTAAGTACTACTATAGTAAAACTTCAAGGATCACGTGTCTTATTTGGAAACATTTATTTGAAAAATATTCTACACTTCTTAAATACTAATAATTGTAAAGGATCTGAATTTCCTTTATTCTTCATATTATATCTACATAAAGCAAATGTATCACGATTCACTAAGTCACAATGGTGCATAATTTTTCGACATTATCCTGTCACTCATTTCGCGCATCGTTTATTCGCACATTAGTTTGCACGTCACATTCTTACAGAGTTCTAGCGAAAGTGTTCACATTAATCGATTATGCCACAATCGATTCACAATCATAATCAATATGTTTTAATGTATTATGCACCTTATAGAAAACACTTTAAAATTGTAATGTCGGCATTATGCTCTAGACTCAAGCTGAAAAAATGTTTTTCTAAAGCGAAGCTAAAATAGCATTTCATTCCCTAGGAGAAAAAGTTTTTTTAAATATATTTTTATCTGCCATCAAGCTTTCTTATAGAAAAGTTTTTATTCAAATATAAAATACTCTCGGATAAGAACTTACAGTTCCACAGCGGCGGTTCCACAGAATACCAAATCAATATATGATTAAAAACAATGGTAAAATGACAATAAATTGTTAAAATTTTTTTTTTTCCTAATAAAAAACCATATCTGTTCTACTTTTCATTCACTTGTATTTTTCTTGTGAAATTGCGAAATTCTTTAAACAGAACAAGAGACAGTCAAAGATGTTGTAATAAAAAAGATACTTCATTGTACATACTGTGTGTAGAGATGATACCGTAAGTAATCTGTAAACATTTCTTCACTGTTTTCTGAATCGTCGCAATTTTATGATAAAACGAAACTAAACAAACCATCAACGAATGATCTCATTGTGATGCAACAGACGACAGTTTTTACTAAAAATAGTTTTATACGGAATTGTTGAAAAAATATAATTGATATTTTAATCGATTCGAAACTTAAATGTCACATATCGAATATGGCGAACGGGAAAATACCGAGTTCTTAAATTGGTAACAGACACAAGGTGCTAACGGTGGCCAAATGAAACATGCTGCTCTGTTATTGTATAGACATGTGAGTCATAATCTTCATTTTAAGAGTATTGAAAATTGTAGGATATTAGGTCATAAGATGTCTATTTATTTATAACCACCACAACACACTACATTCTGATATAGAAACTTAAATTAGATATTGTCAATGGCATTTAAGATTTCTGTAAAAGAAACCCTTTTAAAACGTCATCTCTTTAGTTATGTGTTATACGTACGTGGCTAAGTACAGAGATTCAGTATTACGAAGCTCTGATACTAAAATACCTAAAAATATCT